ATTAACGGTGACAATAATTTCCAACTTGACATGGAAATTAGAAGGTGTATGAATTTACATTAATTACTAGGCGGTTAGAGAAAGGATTACACAGGATTAGAAAACAGTTCCAATGTATGTAAAACAGGTTGTTTCTTTTAGATTAATATTTTGACAACTCGAAAAATAATTCCAACTAGATATAAAAGTTCAGATGTGTGAATAACGGTTACAAGGGGCTTGGAACAAAATTATACAAGAGGTAGAACCAGTTTCTTTTGAATGCACAGCTCAATTTTTTCGTCACATATGGTGAGGGCTTCTACAGCACGAAGAAGTCGGAAACACACTGACCTTGGTAGATTTTTGTTTACTTAAGTTTGGCATCCATACTGGGTAATGTTCTCTAACACGTTTGGATAGGATCCACATAGAACGATCTATGTGCCTAGCTCCACAATAGCAGGTGAACTGATACATGCATATTTGGCGGCCTGCTTACATCTTGGGCTACCAAATACCTTAAACATTACAAATCATATTGCATCTCATTTCTCATTTCCAATTCATTTAAATTACTAAATATTACTCAATTATGACCTCTAATCGGATCATTTATTCTCGTGACTATTTATTATCCTTAAAATCTACTGATCTGCAATTCCATATAGAAGACGAAAAATAGCATCATTCCGGGTGGTAAAGAGACTTAAAAATACCCCTATTCAGACAAGATCGGTGTAGTTCCAGGGAGAAACGCGGTGGCGGTGTCGTCATCTTCATCAATTCACAATGGTGTACGTCTAATAATGTAGGTTTCAAATTCACTATTGACAATATTGACTGCCTCACCACTAAGTGTCGACCTAAACATTTGTCAAAATATAACTACATTTACATCTCGAACATTTAGATTGCTCCTGGATGCAATTCCACAGAACTGTCTTTATTTTCGGATGAATTTACCTCCCTTGCTGCCACCTCCTTCGGAAATTCCTTGTCTATAGTTACTGGAGACTTTAATTCTAGTGATCACAGCTTCCTAATTTCACTTGGACACGATAACATTGTCAACTTCCCGACTAGAATGGATAACACTCTTGATCTTGTGTTCACAAATGATACAGGAATATTTGAAGCTCGAAAAAGATCCCAACTACTCAATTCTGATCACTGTATCATAAGAATATTGCCCAGATGTTATTCCCATGACAACATACTGAATCTAAGGACTATGTTAAAAGACACAAACTGGGATTTATTTACTGATCAAGCTCTTGATAACACAATTACCAACATAACACATTATCTTAATTTCTGTCTTGATGTTTGTTGTCCAAAAGAGACAATCTTCTTGAAATTCGACCGCTTCTCCTCTTTTCAACTCAAAAAGCTCCGCCGTGAAAAAGAGAGCTTGTTCAAAATGAAAAATAAATCTGGTGTTAAGAGAATGAACACTTTGATTAAAGCTGAATTACAAAGATTCAATGCTCTATATAACCAGAAGTTTCTTTCGTGTAAATCCCCATCTAATATTTGGAAGTTATTAAAGGAAATCACAGGTGGTAAGCAAATAATGAATGATGTTTCAGTAGATGTTGACTTACTCAATAAATCCTTCATATGTATCCCTGCAGATGTTATGACTCCTAACTCAAATAGCATAAATAATGACTGCTTCTCATGCTTTAATACGAATGATGTCCTCAAGTGTCTTCAATCTCTCAAACCTACTCAGTCCCTTGGTCCTGATGGTGTTCCAGCTGTTATCCTTAAGAAGTGTGCCGACATCTTGTGTTCCCCATTAACTGACATTTTCAACGAATCGTTTTCCAAAAGTATTATACCGAACTCATGGAAAAATATCAAGATTGTTCCAGTACCTAAATCAACAAGTGGACCTACTGTTAAGTTTAGACCCATTGCTATTACCTCACCTTTTTTGAAAGTTATGGAAAGACTTATTTTACTTAATCTTGAACCCTCTTTAAGGCCTTTCAATGACCCCAACCAGTTTGGCTATAAACATAGTAGGTGTACCTTAGATAACGCTGTTGTCCTACACCATAGCACAGTCTCTAGTTTACATAAAGGAGCTAAATACGTTCGGTGTGCCTTCCTTCCTTGATTACACATCTGCATTTGACTCTGTTCCTAGGTCTTTCTTGCTAAGTAAGCTTCCTGCAACACAGGCTGAGAGCTGGACAAATAAGTGGCTGCATTCCTATCTTTCTGATAGGAAGCAGTACACCGTCTGCAATGGAAAGTCCCCCACTACCTCACTTACTTTAGCTGGTGTTCCTCAAGGTACTGACTGTTCTTCCTCCTTTTCTGTTTTCGTTTTCCTTACATGACTTGCCTCATTCTAATGTAGCCACTTTTGTGAAGTATGCTGATGACCTCTCTCTTTCTATGCCTGTCAACTCTCAGTCAGATTGTTCCAAATTAAATAACTTTCTTTCAGAAATCAGTCAGCGGTCCTCTTCAAACGGTCTTAAGCTAAATCCGTTCATATGTCAGGTTGTCAATTTCACTTTCAGACGTAAACGTGACCTACAACAACTTGTTAGCTCACACGGCCCCACCATCGTTGACGACATAGAGGTTGAAAATACATCTAATGTCAAGTACCTTGGCCTGAGTTTTTGCACCGATCTTTCCTGGTCCTCCCACATCTTCCTAGTTACTAGAAAGATGTTTCGCTTAACGCTCTACGTTAGGAAATTTAGGCAGTCTGGCATAAAGTAGTCTTTGCTTTCTCAGTTTGTTAATCCTTGTATTCTACCCATCCCTCTTTACTGCTCCTCATTAATCTTTCCTGCACTACTTAAGAAAGACTTTGCTTTTCTGAGAAGGGCAGGCACTAAAAGCCGTCAGTAGGGCAAGTGGGATATCGTTAAACCAACTGGTTAACACTATTGTGGATAGACATACAATGTCATGTAAGAAACTAGCGAATACTATATTGTCAGACCCCGAGGATCCTCTCTATGCTCAGCTCTCTCCTTGCATTTCATCTGGTAGAACAAGAAGCAGCTATAGGAGGCTGGCTGGCTATATGCTAGGACTACCAAGTACAAAAACTCCACAATACTATATCTGGAACAACTGTTGTGATCAGAAATCCGTTAGGCATGACACGATCAACTTATTGCGGCACTCTAACAAATAGTCCCATTAGTTTTTGATTTCCTTTCCTCGTTACTATTACACTGTTGTTCTCATCTTCTATTACACACCAATTTTATATTTCATATCCTATGGTGCATTGTTCAAAATGGAAACGCAACGCCTTTCTTCCTTATTTCTTTTCATTCATCTATTTTTTGTTCTTTTTATCTAAAAATCTTACAAAATTCATGCGGTAATTAGGTGCAATATTGTAATGCACGCTGAAAATCCTATACCTATACCACAAATACTGTTTGGAATAAAGCCGTTGTTATTATTATTATTATTATCATAGATACGTATATGGCAGCTGGCTATTACTCATTATCACTGCTTAGATTTATTCTATTGATAGAGGGAAGGGAGCTTATTTGATACTACTTAGGTACAGGTACTTTGTGATTTTATAATACAATGTTTAAGAAAATACGAACAATTCGGCTTAAGAAAGTGTAGGCTTACACAGTTCAACATTGAGAAAAGTCTGATTTTGGTTGTCTAGACACGTTGGAACTATTACAAGTTATCACATAGAATTTTTTTCCTTAAAAAACATGCACTATGAGGGAACCATTGTGTTTGAATTTCATTTGGCTTAAGGGTGACACTTTACTTCACTCATTTAACTTTGAATCAGGTGAGGCATGCAGAGCATAGTCTTATTAACGGAGGTATGTCTAATGTGACGGTAATTAACGTCAGTTTGAAAAATTTACATCTGCTTTTCTTACTTGAATTCATCAGAAGCTTAGTTACAGATTCAGGCAACTTTAATTGATTCTAACTCTTTAGTTTGGAGATGGAGGAGCTGAAGCTTATGTTCATTCTTCCATACGAGATAACTGTGCTTATATAATCCTTTTAAAACTAAGCTGCTGCTACTACATGAGTCAAATTTGACATCTGATAGCTAGGAAGTCTTTTATCATGGTATCACAACTGTTCCGATTTACCAGGAGAATGAAATACGAATCGAATTGGGGTTCATCTTTTACTTTACCAGCAAGTCTGTATATCGCCTACAAAATGGTAAGATCAACACACTCAAGTTTACATTTGCTATACTCTAATCATAAAAATGGTCATCCTTAGAAAACCTTTCTTCAAAATTTCACACCCTGAAGCAAACCACAGATGTATGTAAAATGATTACCACCCACTCAATTTTCTTAACATAAAGCCTGTGTCCTCACCAAACGGCAATAAAACCGAGTCTGAGTCGGATAACAGCGTGTTGAGGTTACACTGTAGCTCACGGTGATCACTCAATTACCAATCGTCTGAACTATAACAAAGGGGGTTCCTCCGTATGCATATCCTGTGTGCAAGAAGACGTATTTAGCTACAAGGTATGGTTAAGTGTGCGTTTCATATTTGGGACGACTGAAAATCTCTCCTGCTTTATCTTTTCCACTGTGTTCGGGCTAAATACTGCTGGTGAACTTAGTGATTCCGAACGTCCTGCACTCATTAGAATATGTAACGTACTCGTCAGCATAATTAACCTTCTAATGTACTAACAATAAACAGTATATCTAACAACATTTACCAGTCACTACCATAAATATTTCGAAATTTTAAATTACAGGTATTCTATGGAGGTATCCACAGGGAGTAAAATAACCGCAGAAGAATCGGCAACTTAAAGAATCAAAGATATATTTATAGTACAGTCAAAAATGATTTCAAAATGTTAATACTAGTAAAAATTAAGTGATCGTAACTTTCGAAATAGTACATGTGAAGAATCTGAAGAGACTGTGTATGTCAAAAACTACAGTATCTTAAAGTTTTGGAAATAAAAAATAGGTTACCTAACCAGAGAAACTGCCTCAAGACTGTCAGCTCATTTAAATTAAATCATATAGGACAAATGATGCTTTCCGAATATCTTCTTTCTTTACAATACCTAGTAAATTTATGACAAAGTCCAATAAACCAATCTTATGAATTTGTTCATTCAATATGAAGCATGCAAGCAAAATAGAAAAACCTAGAACAAAATCCATGTGGATAGATGACTCGGGGAATATGTGACATTTCTTAAGTTTAACAATCAGATGACGGTATTTGCCGTAAACAAAATAAACAAGCTCATCCTTCATTGGAAACGTAACATCCTTGTCATATTGTTTGCATAAAGCAACAATGAGCTCAACACATCCTTCCAGAGTTTGATGCGTGAGTGAGTTTTGTAAAACATTTAAAGCACACATTTCAGAATGCAGTATAACCGATTCGTCAAATTCGTATCCCAAACATGATAGTATGCATTTGACACACACCGTTCCTAATCTTGAATATCGGTGAATCAATTTTGTGACCAACTGCAGTACAGTAAGAAGAGCTAACATAACACTCCGTTTTGATTCCAAATATGGTTTATCAAATGTTGCTAACCTTTCTTCAATTGTTGCACTTTGAAGATGCAAAATGATAAACCGGTCAAATATTTCAATAGCATTGTAAATGACTTCTTTAGGATATTCCAACGCAGTGCATAGTATCACGACGTAATCGCATAATTCTGGACTGTAAAAAACCCCACGATATAAGTGATGCAATTCGTTATCATTAGAGAAGTGTCTGGTATAGAATTTCAGATATTTTCTCACTTCCTCAATATTCACTAGATCCATTAAGGAAGGCAAAACAATCACATGCCATGGGCCAGGATATAGGCTATAACCTGCTATATTTTCCGCGCCTCAGGTTTTTCGTCTTTCATTGGCTAAAACAGTGGCGGTCAATTGGACATTTGATTTGTCCTTGGTAGGTGCTATCGTGTGAGGTTTTGTGTGGTTGTGTTATGCGTCATTTGCAAGCAACTTTGACAAACATAGATGTAACATTTGACTATTCTAACATTGTTTTGCTGTTTTTTATACAGATACACTGCTCTTTTCGTTATAAACTCCCTCGAAACTGGTCAGGCATTATGGTGGCTATCAGTAACTGCCATCCCGTGGGTCCCAATGCATTTCTTCAGTTGTGGTTATACGTTCAGTATTTCCTACTACAATATTTCTCACTCACTTGCGAATTAATTGTGACAAGCTGTGGCAATAATGTGCTTCGTCAACGAGCCCTTTTACCAGAATTTCATCGCAGGTAATCAGTGCGAGCGGAAGCAGCACATAAGTTAGAAGCTGAGAACGCATTAGAAGACTTTCAAAAGGCGTGGGCCTTATATACTGCTAACAGTGGAGGACTTTTCCACACATCAGTATGTGGATACGTTCACGTGCGGAGGGAAAATCCACGAGTGAGACATTGTATAGTAGTGAGACAGCTTTGTGGAGCTTTCATCTGGCCTGTATGTTTCGCTCTAGTACTTTTCTCCCTCAGACCACTAACAAAGTATCATCAAATGTATTCTTGTAGTATGATTCGATGGCGCAATTACTGGTAGTTAATAATATTATGTATGCGTAATGTTCATGATATTTTCTGCACCATTAACGTGCTCCACATTTCAAAAGGAATGTAAATTAGAAGGACCGAACTTAACTTAAACTTAAGTCATATATGATCATGCATGTTAATTACGTAAATGCTTGATTTATGTGAGTGAACTTAATCTGTATCACTTTCAGGAATGATGGGTCGCAATGAGGTCTGTCAGTTAATTAAATTCAGTGGAAGCAGATGTAGCCGCATTCGGACGAAGACATCTGAAAATCAATGATGAGCGTTTCACGACTAATAACCAGATGCATTTGCATAGTCAGTTTTAGGAAATGATTCTGCAAACAACAACAAGTGAAAGTAAGTTCACTCTTTCAAGTATAACCATGCAGATATTCTGTTTTGCAGTTTGTGATACCGGATAGCTTTGGATGTGGGCATAGAGTTCTGTTTACTTGAATTTAGGAAAAATTTAAACGTGACGCAATTCGGACACCGGATATCTGCAAATAAGTAAACAAAGTGTAAGTAATGTTAAACTTGAACGCTTTATGTTTACCTACCTTTGCTGAAAAAGGTTCATTCTCCTTTCTTATTCTTCGTTGAAAGATTATTTCCAAATATAAAAGGTAATAATCATTGAAACTGCAACAAAATTTTCTGGCTATTCGCAATTTTTTCCTTTGATGCAGTTTCTTATCAACAGTTTGCAGTATTCATGGTGAGTTTATAGGAACCTTCATTGTATCATGATTTTCACCAAATTTCCCTTGACGCACAGAAGCATGCAGTAACCCCATACACTGAAGCATTGTAGCCTGAACATCACAATATCCCTACAGATAAATTGTTTAGTAATAAATCCTTTAAACATATGAGCCGTAAGTGCATCTTTCATATCCTTCATGGTTACAAGTAATTCATTAAGGATCTCAGAACATCTTAGTGATCTGAAAATGAATAATTATTAAGACTGATAAAACCTAAGGAACATGTGTAGTAGTTGTAGGATACAGCTGCTAGCTACTATCCGACAGAAAGGAGGTACTTATTTTAAGTAGTGTGACATTTTAGAAGGACCATCTATACTATTCTTCGTGCCCCAATGCACACTGATACCAACATAATCTGATGCCATGTTATACGCTGAGCAATACGGTCTTTTGAAACTCTATGTGCAAATGTAAATTAAACTAGTATCAGATCTTCGAAATTAATTACTACGCATTTTTGAAGTAGTGAAACAACCACCACCTTTTCTTCTCATCTTTTGGATATGTACTTATTTGATTATTGATTCATTCACCGCTATTTCATTAAGCAAAGCACAATGCACCTGGACATTTAGTGTAACGGTTAGTTCACTACCCGGTAACTCTAAACTATAGCGGCCTAGCGAACAGATATACATACATCTTTGTTGATAATAATTTCTTCCTGCAAGCATTGGTGTTACGAGCTAGGAGAGTACCGGGCTATCTGAATTTCCAACCAGCACAGTGCATCAAATTTTCCTTAATTCCTGAAGTTTTAACCATTCATTTGTATTTTTGAATAACGGCAAGCACTCACGCGAATTTTCCGAAGCTATCTAGTCATTCGTTACAGTTTCTGAGAGTTGAAAGAAAATATTATCAGGGAATGGTCTACTTTTCTAGTCAAACAGCGTCACGTGATATGGTTTGCTAAATAATGCTATTTTACTTACGCAATAAAGCAACTGTCAATCACGTCTCATAAACCGTTAATGCCCAGCTCTCGCTACGCTCGGGCCCACGCTGTTCCTTGAAGATATCAGAAACGCATAGTTATAACGGACGAAAAAACCAAAACACCGATCTGCCGCTTGATATTTCTTTATTGTTACACCAACATATAAAAAGAATAAGTGAACTAAGTTTTCTGACGATGTTTCACTCTTCTTTCAGAACAGCGACCGATGAGACGATGACTGTCGTATTGATGCCTCCGCGAAAATTGGGTAAGTTGATTTTGAGTAAACAACCAAGAATTGATCGCTCAATCTTCAACTCCATTGACACTCCCCGGCAAAAAGGGGATCCAACCCTTTTTTCCTTCACGACCAATACACGTTGACTTGGATGCCATTGCGAGAACCTGGGTCACACGGACAGAGCTGAAATGGAAAACAAACAGAAAAGCCAACACACCACAAGCATACCCACAGCACAATCTCACACATCAATGACGACCTGCGCCTCCAGACAGAGACCTCCTCTTGACATCTTGCAACACAGTCGCCATTTGCTAGAATGACTCTTGCAGAATGCAAAGTGACCATGGCAGCACCTCACGATACTCTACACACATCCTCTTAATGACTCACTACCAATTACCATTGAAATCGCTTGTCACTCATTCTGCCTCAGTTCTAGTAGCGGTGACGCATGCGAGCCTCAGTCGTTTACACTCTTTCTCCCCGGCGTGTCGGACCGCAGCTAACAATTATCTCCGTGTGCGTTTCATTCTCAGCAATAGCTTAGCCTCCCCCGGCGTATACGACCCATCTGCTGTCTCTAACATCAATCAATTCATTCATGGATGTAGAAGACTCGAAACAACTTCAGAAGTAATCACGACGAAAATTTTAACAATATTATGCAATAAAAACAAGGCACGAAAACAACGAGTAAACACAATGAATCCAAAAAACACCAATTGATATGACACACCACACGTATATACAAATTGTACAAACAACCTCGCCGATCCTGCCTTGGTGGAATTCCTTTGAAGAATTGCAGGACTTACACCAGTACGCCTACATTCCTTCTCAGGTTGACGATTGTAAGTTGTGGAATGTCCGCACACAAACAGAGTTACCAACGGCTAGATGACAGATGATATAAATTCAGTATATGCAATATGAACATATGTACAAAATCACACACCAAGCACAGTGGACTGCTCATTGGTGCGCTACCCTTTGGAGAATTGTAGGACTTACAGCAGTACGCCTACAACCCTTCTCAGGTTGACGCTCTAGGTTGGAAAATCGTCCCAGAGTTCATTTGCTAACTTCCTTCTATCAGCTATATCCTCAAATCTGAACGGCAACACGCCCATGTCATTGTATCGTAGAATATAGATGACCAACAAACACACGACATATCTCATCAACCAAGTGTAGAAACAGAGTAATTTACACCAAAGATAATAACATTCAAGTAGTAACTTGAAACTAGAAATGCCTTTATTCATGCAAGTCAATTTAACAATTACTCTTTCGTTTACACTTGGATTATCCTCACTAGACTGACCATTGATATTCGTCCTTTCAAACGAACTGATACTACCATAGTCATTGCACAAGATACTTGAGTTGATGGGCGTCTTTTTCATTGTGGATGACAGCACCAACGACGACTGGTTGATATCAGTTGATGAAGTTAGCGGTGGATCAAAAGCGGTTGTTGCTCGACTTTCAGAAAGTTGTCTACCTGCAAGACCACCACCACTGCCGTCTTTTACTATCAGCTCAGGCTTAGCACTGGCATCTGATGATAGGTGGGCTACATGCTGATCAATCACACTGACAGTCTCACAAGTATGCGTGCCTTCTGCAACTGAATCTGCATTTATTTCAACTTCACGTTCAAGTTGTACAGAACCTTTATTTAACTTAGCAGTAGTAGGCATATCCCTCATCTCATAATGATCAACCAAAGACAAATCTGCACTATCATGATCATTATCACGAATATTCACTTTACCGTCAACTTTATCATTTTCAAACTCTTTAATAACAGAAGTAGACAATTTTGGTTCCTCTTCGCAAATCCCTAAGGATTTTATACCTTCACTCTGACTAGTTATACCTTGTAAACTTGTAGGGCCAGAACTGCACTCTGAAGCAGCAACTCTATTCTGTGACACTCTATTCAACAATGGCTTACCAGTTGCAACTACAGACTTCCTGACCAAACCGTTATCGTCACACAATTCGGAGTCAGGCCTGGAGTTCACATTTAGCTTATCACTGAACTTGCTCACTGGTTCACAGTTCACCTTTGTACGCACTTCTTGCAAACGTGTGAAACACAACCGTGTTTGTCTTGCATCTTGTAACTTATCTGTTGAGGATGTACTACGAAACCTGTTACACTCACTAGGTCTATATGCATTACTAGACATCATGGAGTCTTCTCGATATCCACCTCTCTGAGGCCTACTCGTCATCAATGATTGCGTTTCACCCTCAGACTGCTCT